GGGGTAAAACAGAGGTGAGTGAAGTTACAGTAGAAAGTGCAGTGACAGTGCCTCCAAGAAGTGAGATGGTTGTACTCAGTAGAGTGAGAAAACATTTCACAGAAGGAAAGGAAGGCATGCTGGAACCCCCACAATTAAGCCATCATGCATTCCTGGTGGCCCGAATCATGGCCAGGAGTCAAGGAGGCTGTATCCTAATGGCATTTGCCAATGTGACAACAGAGTCCCAGGTTATATATCAAGGTACAAATCTGGGAACATTCCATTCAGATGTGTTGGGGTGGGGGAATGTGACCACAGAGGTCTTGACACTGCATTCAGGCTCTAACATCAAGCCAAGCCAAGAATACTCCCAAAGGAGGGCAAAGAACAGGTGGCAGCTGGAATCTCTACAACGGAAGATGGTGGAGCTTCATTCTGTATGGAAGTCTTACACTCTTCTCTGTTCCCCCCTCCCCAATCCCAGGTATATAGTTGGAGTTACCCATGAAGAGGCACCTTGTACATGTGTAGTGGTATCCTTTTCTTCACAGAGCACTAACTCTGAAATCAACAGTGGGGTCTGATTGTCATTTTGCTCTACTTTTCTGTTTGGTTTGTCCTCTGGAAGAATGGGGAGGTGGGAATTCTGCTTCACTGTCACTCAGATTAATGGTGTCTAGTCTAAGTCTGGGAGACAAAGCAATTTGGAGCTGTCATCCCAGAGCTAGATCTTTGGGGTGACATGGAAAATGCTAGTGTTCCCCCGCTGTGATTGTAAGTCTGATCTCTCTTCCTTTTGAATGTGCTTTCATATACATTGGTGCATTGTATTCTCCATCCAATGCCTACACATGTTGCCTTGTATACCAGTACATAGTGTGAACCAGGGTTGCATCACTTTTTTGCATGCAGTGGGGCCCCTACAGGGTTGCCAACTCTAAACTGAGGAATTCCTGGAGATTTGGGGAGGGAGCTCAGAGGGACATAATGCCAAAGAGTCTACCCTCCTAAAGCATCCATTTTCTTGGGGGGAAATGATCTCTTTGGTCTGGAGATCAGTTATAATTCTTGGAGATCGCCAGGCTGCACCTGGAGGTTACATTACAACAAACAGGGCCACGGTGTATAATAGCCAGTAAAACAGTAAATCACCGTGTACAATTAAACAATATTTGTTGGGATTTATATGCAATGTTTAGAAATCAATTATTAACAAGATTACAACAATAACACTACAATATGCGATATAAATCTTAGCAGTACATACAAAGTAATACAGTAGTAGTTACAGACAAACGACAGAGTTCTAGTACACTATCCGTTTGCGTGTCCTTCATCAGGTTTGTCATTCTGTAATTATTTCTTCATTAGAATGAAGTGCTGCAAGCTGCAATGGAGTGTAACATGCTTAATAACCAAAAACATACAAATTACTTTAATACATAGAGGAGCATTTTACATTTTATAAACTCACCCATATTTCAAAATGCTAGTTCTTATACAATTTTTGATGTACGCTACCGCGCTTAGATTCTAGAAAAAAGCAGACAAGCACAATATGTATTTCACAATTCTCCAATGATAACACATACAAAAAAAATCAAAATAAAGAGAACATTTTAAAATTTACCAACCTGGTGACTGGGGAGCTCCTTTAGCAAGCTCTAATGTGACTGGGTCTACAGCATATAATAATTGGCTAAGCTTCCCTCAGTGTGGCACAATGTTTCAATGGAAAATCTGTAGGCTGCAACAGGTGTTATGTTTTAAGATGGCATGTTCTATCTTAAAGGTACCCTGACCATTTACAGAAAATAACTCAAGTCTAATTCCTGATTTAATCCTGATGGAATCAGTGTGTGTAGCCTGAAGATAAATTCAGCTTCTCTTTGTAATAAAACCTGGGATATATCCACTTGATTATAGGATTGTGATCTGTAATGAAACAATACCATAAACTTAAAATCTTCTGGTTTGTGTGCTGCAGATTTGAAATGGGCAACCTGGAGGTTGGCAACTGTAGCCCCTAATGGCAGTGGGCCCCAGACAACTGCCTCTTTTACTAATCGTATAACATTTGCCCTGCATGTAAAACGAGCAAGGACTATTGTCTCCTCTGCAGCCGAGGAAGCTGAATTAAAACAAGCACATTGCTAGACATCTGCAAGCCAGCTAAAAATAAGCCTTGCAGGCCCTGAGTTGCCTGGCCAAACTGACAGTTAACAGTTTGCTCAACTTGAACTGTTGGATAGCTCAGATCAAGTTTTTCAAGATGCAAATCAGCAGGATTTTAGATTGTAATTTATGAGGTAAAAAACAAAGACATAAATCTGTGATCCAGTCTTAAGGTGGTATGAAATGCTTTAATGGTCTTTAGTTTAGCATATGTTGAAACAGTTTCAGAACAAATAAAGATATTAAAAATCTTTGCCCAAGGCTAGCTTTATTCTGACTATGATTCAAATGGAGGAGCTGATGACTTCCCAGTGAGGGGAGGAGTCCCCACATTTTTGGATTTTCAAAGTTAGCAGGTGAGCAACCGGGTCTCCATCAATAGCCTTGATTTTGCAGCTAAAGCTTGTTATTCCATTGTGAGAGCCCAAGAACACAAAACAAAGGAAGGAAGGATAGATGCTAATTGATCCACAGGAAACATTTTGGAGATGGAAAAAAATTGAAAGATTTTTCTCCTTGTGTTGCCTTTCCTCACTGCTGTCTCCAAACTGCCCGCCAACAGCAACAGAGTCAAAGCCGTAACGTATTGTTTGCTACACCAAGAACAATAAATAGATGTTTTCCTGCATTGGTGGGGGGTAGTTTTCATATCCAGAAAGGAGGGTTTAGCATGGTGAGGCAGGAAACTAATCCGGAGGCTTGTGATGAGACAGCAACTGAGGATCTGGTACACAGATAAGAAGCAGAGACGATGGCACAACAGGTTTTTACGTCCTTTAGAACAGAAAGATCTGAGTTGAGGGGGACGATCCAGCTGAAAGCCCCACTGAACCAAATGGAAGTTGTGACAAGAAAATGATAGTACTCTTGTGCATTGCTTTCTCTTTTTTATATATATTTTTGTATTTTTATGTGCATGTGTGTATGCATGCACCTGATAGTCATGGTGGCCTCTGGTGACTGACCCCTACTGGGGGCTTGGAGGATATTCAGAGAGGTGGCTGAATAAAGCCTGCCCCCGCCTCCTGTATTCCGAGGAGGTCTCCCATCCAGGTACTTGCCAGAGTTGACGCTGCTTAGCTTCCAAGATCTGACAATATCAGGCTTGCCTGGGTTATCCAGGTCAGGGCATGCATTGTTTTCTTTTGATATTTGTGCTGGGGAACTACTTGTGTTAATTAGAAGGCAAGTAGCACTGTTTGGATTGTCTTCATCAAGCCTTAAAATGCTGTGAGCTGAGGTAAAGGATGCTGAGATGATAGAGGATGGCTAACGGTATGTGTCAGGGGTTCATGTCAGCCTCAGCCTTTCAGGGGTGGCTGAGTGGTAGCAAATTAGGGTGTGTGTTCAACCATTAACTGCTGCCGGGTACATGGAGAGTAGCCCCAAGGAAGGACACCTTTCAGAATTTAGAGGTTGCCAGCATCAGTGGATTTAAAAATGCTGTCATTGGCCAAGTGACTTGAAATCATAAAGAAAGCAAAGCCACCATCAAACCCCTCCCTTTTCCTCAGAATCCAGACCGTCCAATAGACCATCCCATCCACCTATGCTGTCTAATCCATCTATAAAATGTCCCAGAATCCATAGTGTTGGCCTCTTTCCACAGAATTTGCCTCATGGACCAAAGGACTGAATGTCCAAAAAAACCCCAAAAAACCAGTCCACAAAGGACTTTTCTCTTCTTAACTGGCAACCTTTTCCGTTTCAGGCTTGGTGGAGCTGAGAAGAGCCCTTGTCTGTTTCTTTTCATCCTTCCGGAGTCGAGACCTTAATAAGAGAGAATGCCCATAAAATTCAGTTGTTTTTGTAAAGCTGTAAGAACTGACTACACTGATTAGACCAAGGCTCCAGCTAGGGTTGTCAGATTTTTTTAAAAAATACCAGACACACTGAGGCTCCATCCCTCCTCCCAGACTCCACCCCCTCCTCCTAGGGCAAAGGGCGCTGTTTGCCCAGCCCCAGCTCAAAACTGCAGCAGCAGCAGCAGCAGTAGCATTTAAATGTCCTGTATTTTTTCACATTTTTTCCCCTGGACAGTCAGTTAAAATACTGGACTGTCTGGGTCAATACTGGACACCTGGATACCTTAGGTCTAACTAATCCAGCATTCTGTGGCCCACACCGACATGACCAGGCAGCCATTTTGTTTATTAATGTGTCTGCCCTATTCACATATAAAAGTGATGGAAGGGCCTAATTTTTACAATAGAAGAGACACGTGGGCAAAGGGAACATGAACCCCATCCCCTTGCCACCTTATTGTACCTGAGGCTGTGAGAACCTTTCAGTCAGCCTAGCTCTGATACTGAAAATGAGAGAAGTACCAGAAGCAAGGGACTTCAGCGAAGTAAGATAAAGGAAAGTTCAGTTCCCCTCAGTCATGCCACCTTTTTGATATGAACATCCTATACACAACTCACCACTTTCTACAAGCACATGTGAACAAACAACCACGGTTTACTCCATCATATCTGGTTTGGATCTGTCCTCAACAGGGACTGTCCAGATACCCCTGGAAAGCTTGCAAGAAGGACAACAGACACCCTGCTGGTCCCTTTCTTAACTCCCCATTCCCATAATCGTTGGTTGATAAAATGATGTTTTACTGCTACAGCTGCCACTAGGCCACTGGCAAATAAAAATGAGCAGAATGACAAATGTTGAGGCATTCACATTTTGAAAGCGAAATTTTACCTCAGCATCTCAAATTCAGATTTCTTAAGACACTGGCATCTTGTGCTCATTCTGTTGTTTGGCAGGCATAAGCCATGCAGCTGTCCAAAAACTAAGACCCTTCACTTTCCCAAGATGCTTTGTGGCACTCCCCAGCCACCGAGTACTCACTGGATCTCAACTTGTTCTATAGTTTCCGGCAGTGGGACATTGAGGGTTTCCGGCAAGAAAGCAGCAGCTATGCCAGACACGATGGGAGCAACCCCGTAGATCACCAGGGGCAGGAAGGGAACATACTCGCCCGTCATCTTCACCACTGGGGCTATCATGCCACCCAAGCGGGCCATGGTGTTACTCAGACCCATACCAGTCTGCCTGCAAGTGTGGAAGGCAACATATATATATTAGTATAGGTAGTGTTATAGTTAGGAGCTGCGGTGGCTCAAGTGGTTAAGACGCTGAACTGCAGGCTGTGGAAGGCCAGTAGTTCAGCAGTTCGAGACCCAGGTGCCGCAAGACAGGGTGAGCTCCTGTCTCTAGTTCCAGCTCCTGCCAACCTAGCAGTTCGAAAGCAAGAAATTGCAAGTAGATAAATAGGTATCACTCCGGTGGGAAGGTAACAGCGTTCCGTGCACCTTGGTGTTTAGTCATGCTGGCCACATGACCACGGAAACGTCTTCAGACAGTGCTGGCTCTTCGGCTTTGAAACGAAGATGAGCACCGCAACCCTAGAGTCGGATTCGACTGGCTTTCGAGCAAGGGAACCTTTACCAGAACCTTTACCTTTATAGGTAGTGTATTGCTAGAGGCATAGAATTTCTGATGGAAGCAGAATAAAAACAGTTCTTGTTCAGTAGGACAGATAGTGAATGCTGGGCCAAGAAGAGGCTCATCTAGGATGATACACAGCAAGATGGAGCACTCAGGAAAAGAAGAACCAGAGTGAGAAAGGGTCAATACATTGAGTCCCCACTGTCAGAGACTCTGATGCAGGAGCTTAGCACACGGAGCTTCTTTGGATGGGCACAGAGGGGAACAGATGGGTACCACAGCTTATCTCTCCTCCATTCTGTGATTGGCGGGTGGTACAAAACCTCAGAACCTGGCACTGTCTTGTCAACAAAGCAATACCTGTCACTTGCTGCTCTTCAGCTCTCAGCCTCCTCAGGTTCCTGGGTAAATGAACATACATTGCAGGTATGGATTTGGATTACACAAGGAAAAACAGAATTGCTGCAAACGTGCATACAATTTGAAAATAGTTGGCAATAATATAGAACAACAATATAATTTAGGCTTCTAAGATGTTTAATTCTTGATCTCAGCAAAAAGCGCCATCAAGATGACGTCGAGATGAGCAGAAACGCAGATATTACGAACTTCTCGAGTTCTAGCGTTCGTTTCGATACAGTTCTTTATCAAACAAATTCTCCTATCAAAATAACAACAATGATTGCAACTTATGATAGGGGACTGTAACACTGGTTCAAGTAATTTAGTGGTAAAAATTCATACATACAGTTCTTTAATGCTCTTCATACAAGTACTTCACAAGAAGGAATTCCTAAATCCTGTAAATAAAACAATACTTAAACTCTACGTCTCAAGTGGTTATTAAAAACCAGAATGAAAACCAGAAACTCGAGAAGTTCGTAATATCTGCGTTTCTGCTCATCTCGACGTCATCTTGATGGCGCTTTTTGCTGAGATCAAGAATTAAACATCTTAGAAGCCTAAATTATATTGTTGTTCTATATTATTGCCAACTATTTTCAAATTGTATGCACGTTTGCAGCAATTCTGTTTTTCCTCATGGATTTGGGTATGCCTGTCCTCAGCGGGGCTCTGAACCCAGCCAAACAGGAACTCAACAGATCTCCCCCCCCCCCCAATTCTTTTGGTTCCAAAGCCACTGAACAAAATCTTGGGGCACCACTCCTATGTGATTGTATACAGAGATGGAGCCCAAGCCACACAACTAAGAGTTGGACACTTTGTCAAGTGTGAACCATGATCAGAGCTTGTTTAAGTTACATTCCTTGCAAATGACATCTGTTTAACCTTCATTCCATAAAGACGCCTGTGGTTCTAAAGTTTGCAGTACCCCTATTTGGATAGAGCTTTGTTTTGTATACCGTCATACCAGCATGGGAAGCAACATCAAGATATATTTTGCAAAGATGAATTGCGCAAGATTGGACTTGTTGCATAAACCAGAACTCTTTCTAAGTGCTCCTCTGTAAGACATGAATGTTGAAGCATCTCCAATTGTTAGCCCAAACAGTATGAGTGTTATGGAGTACTGAGAGAACAGGCAGATAGGTATGGGGTACAGACAGTTACAGACACAGAGGTGGAAGAAGCAGGTAGGATGGCGTCAAATGTCCTGTGGGGACACTGAACATGAGATTCTAATCTGCGGAAGAGGGTTGCTGAAAACAAAAGGGAGCCTGCCATTTCGGATGGGAACATATCTTCTCTGGCTTGGCATCAACCTGTCCTCTCTAACCTCTGACCTGCACGCATGACTCTCACTTCTCCTCTCTTACCTGAGCACTGTTGGATAAAGTTCTCCAGTGTATAAATAGACACAGTTGAATGAGGCAGCCAAGCATCCCTTCCCGAAGACTGCAAAGGCAGTGCGGAGGATTTGCATATCTGGAGTTAAAAAAAAGAAAAACCACAGGACACTAAGGAATACATTTGCCATTCTCAGGACACCAAGGAATACATTTGCCACTCTCCCCACCGCCAGTGGGTTGTAGGGAACAGATCCCACCATTCTCCAGAATCCCAGGGGAAGTCCTGTGGCTCAGTAGTACAGTATTTGCAGAAGGTTGCAAGTTCAATTCCTACACCAATGGTCTAACTCAATATAAGGCAGCTGTGTGCTCATCTCACTTTCTAAGGACAAGTGTTGCCCTCTCAAAGAAATACTTTGCGAAGCTATGGTGTTATCCCTTCATGTGGATAAGGCTTGTGGTGGTGGAAAGTGCTGACAAGTGACACATCTGACTTATGGCAATCCCGTGGGGTTTTCAAGGCAAGAGATGTTTCAAGGTGGTTTGCCATTGTCTGCCTCAGTGTCACACCCCTGGTATTCCTTGGAGGTCTCCCATCCAAATACTAGCCAGGACTGACCCTGCTTAGCTTCTGAGATCTGAGATCAGGCTAGCCTGGGCTATCCAGGTCGGGGCTTCTACTCTGGAACAAAAGCAAGCAGTAGTCAGGCAAGAAAGGATGACTAGACTTGAAAGCAACAGGTTGTACAGACTGTGGAGCCAGGCCATAGGCATAAGTTTATATGGAGAGGTAGAAGGCTATTGGGCCCCTTGTGTCATATGACACAAGCTGTTAAACCCAAAGCTACAGTACCATCCTCCAGCTAGGTGAAAGGGGAGCCACAGAATACATCTCACCTTGCGGAATGAAGATGTTAGCTAGGATAGCTATCCCAGCGAGGATGAGTGCCACAGCCTGTGTGAACCGGCGCCCAATGAAACTGATTGTGAGTACTGAGATGGTCTTGGCCGGGAAGTCAACAGCTCCAAAAATCATCTGGACCAAGTAGATGCTCACACCAAAGTTCTGCAGGTCCATGACCAGCCCGTAATAGGCAAAACTGGTAGAGAACCTTAAGATGGAAGACAGTACATAGGCTTTACCTAATTCTGGCAAAGTGTAACGTTTAACAGCACATCTGGACTACAGCCTAGTTTAAGCGTCAAGCATCTTCAGATCAAGGTTCTTATAAGCAGGTGTAGGGAAAGGCTTCTCTCTGCCTGGAAAATGATTTCTTGGTAGAATAGAATAACACTGGGCTAGATGTACTTATGGTCTCTCTCACAATAAAGCAGCTTTGTATGTATGTCCATATAATTTAAAAGGAACCCAGAGGACAGCAGGTCTGAAAGGGAGGACTAAGAACCTAAGAGGACCTCACTCAAGTTCTCAAGATTGCCTAGGGAAGCCATGACAATTAAACATTTTTTAAAATTTATAATATTGAAATAATAAATTGAAATAATAAAAGTAAACATATGTAAAAGAATATAAATTGGCAATATAGATAGGCCCTAGACTTTACACTCAGATAGGCCCTAGACTTTACACTCACCTTAGCCCTGAAGTCAGCAGCTGTAACTGAAGGGAGGAGATGCTTGCTTGGAGCTCCTGATAGTGAGTACAGTTTTTCCTGATATCTTCACTATTTTAAACTTGTTTTCTGAGGATATTTTCCCTCCTCTTTGTTCATAAGGCTCCCCCCCCTACATTTGGAGGGGAAAATGGAGCCCCCCTAGCTGGGTGGGGAATGGGAAATCAAACAGAGGCCTTAGGGACTTCCTGATATTTCCCTGCTTTCTATGAGTCAGGAAAAATCAGGTTTTCAATTAAAGCCAGTGTTTTGGGGGCAGAAAGGTGGGAAAGAGGTCCCTGAAACCCAAAAAGTCATATTTCCAATGGATGCAAAAAAGGGATCTGCTGTAATTTATAAATCACCATAATGAGGTGTAATAAATAAAGGAGCCAACTGGATTGGGGTACCAGGCTAACTATAATTTTAATCATTAAGTTTGCACAACCTCTTGTAAAACTAACTGGAATTAACTGATTCTTACAGGGGGAACGCTGAACTGCAGGCTATGGAAGGTCGGTAGTTCAGCAGTTCGAGACCCAGGTGCCGCATGACGGAGTGAGCTCCCGTCTCTAGTTCCAGCTCCTGCCAACCTAGCAGTTCGAAAGCAAGAAATTGCAAGTAGATAAATAGGTACCACTTCAGTGGGAAGGTAACAGTGTTCCGTGCGCCTTGGTGTTTAGTCATGCCGGCCACATGACCACGGAAACGTCTTCAGACAGCGCTGGCTCTTTGGCTTTGAAACGGAGATGAGTACTGCAACCCTAGAGTCGGATTCGATTAAAGACGTTGGTTGCTAAGATTGTCGGTCCTGGACAAGCTAGTGGTGTACCAGGGAGGAAATTGAAGCATATGGTGTGTACCTTTCACCAGGCTTTTGAAATTGTGGGGTGGGATAAGAAATGGCAGTGGTTGTTTCAACCAGGCCAGAGTAAGGCCTTCAACAGGGTAACTCACAATTTTCTGTGGAGCTTATTGGAATGGTGTGGTTCTCCATAATCCTTGATCGCCTTATTTAAAGCGTTGGACCTTGACCCAAGGGTACAACCCAATGTAGAGGGACATAGAGGCCCCTTTTTCCCACACTCATAAGGGACTTAGACATGGGTGTCCATTGAGCCCCCTTTTATACATACGCTAGAACTGCTACTACAATCTTTAAGACAGGATGAATGCATCAAATGCCATCACTGAGACTTCTAAGACGATGCCTATACGTGGGTCAGTGGAGAGAATGACTTACTGAGAGTAGAAAAGCACCTTTCTATTAACCAGACAGCATCAGAACTAGGATTAATGTACAAAAGAGTAAGCTTTTTATTTTGGACGGAGTGAAGGAAACAATATCAATACAGTCTTTGAAACCAAATGAGAAGGAGAATAAGGAGAAAGATGAAGACCAAAGATATTTGTTCCATCTGTTTATACGCTTAGGCTCAGCTCACCCTTAATTGTACCCTCCCCTAAACATGGACCCTGGCAGCCCACAAACATTTCTAGACCTCTGAACTACAACTCACCACACAAAACAGAGGCAGCAAGAAATCCGGCGCATGGTGGGTGTCCGCACCAAGTCAGTGATTGTGTAGTTAGATTTCACTGTGGCTATTTCTTCCTTCATATTGGACCTCAAGGTCTGTGGTGGGGGTGCAGAAGGAAAGAGACTAATGATATACACCAGAGCTATTTTGAGGATACGTTTTTTTAAAAACATATTGGTGGAAAGCTTGATTTCATACCACATGCCCTCCAACATTTCGTAAACAAAATGTAAAACAAAAACAGGGATATTGCAGTAGCACCCTATATCAGGGGTCTCCAACCTTTTTGAGCCTGTGGAAACCTTTGAATTCTGACACAGGGCGGTGGGCACAACCAAAAAAAGGCTGCTGTAGGAGGTGGATCCATCCACAAAATGGCTGCCACAGTAGGGAGAGCATGCACACAGAGGAAGCCCAAGGGTAGGGGAGAAGAAGGGTAATTTAAAAATACACTGAGAAAGAGGGATGGGGAGAATAAAAGAAACACTGTGGTGGCAGCTACCAATAAAACAATGTTATTTTAATTTTAAAAAATGTTATTTTAATCTGCATAGCCAATCAGATCTTCAGTGGCCAATCAGAAGATCTGCTGGGTAAGAACCCCACCTACTTTCTCAAAACACTTGGTCGGCACCAGTTTGGGGATCCTTGCCCTTTATAGTCTGTCCTTCACAGTCTGAATGGCCAAGGAGGTAGTAGATCATTCAGTTAAAGAAATACAGGACAAAAAGATCATCTTTCTCCAATTTGTTATCAAAAATATGCCTCAGCAGGCTGTGGACTACACAGCAGCTTTGTGTTCATGTGTGTTTTACACATGTGTGCACCAGAAACTACATGAATCCACCAGCTCACTTTGAGATTTAACTTCCAGAGGCCCAATAGAAGAGCTGTTCAGAGAAGACAGCACTAGCAATAATTTTAATAAGACATTTCCAAAACGCAAAAATCAGGATGCTGATTGATTGGAGACAGGGAACAGAAAATAGGCATTTGCCTTGGAGATGGCTGGATAGGATGAGGATCGGATGAGAAGACTAAGATCTCAACCCTAAAGCACAGGACTTGAGCTTCCCTGTCTCTTTCCAAAATCAAAAAAGCCTGGAGATCAGTTGTAATCCCAGGAGATCTCCAGCCACCACCAGGAGGTTGGCAACCCTACCTTCACCAGGTTCCAAGACTGCATGTAGTCACCTTGATTTGAAGCACATCTTCACAGATTAGAACCTTGCCTTTTGTGTTTAATGAACAGTGTCAAGATTCGTAATCAAGGTTCCATCCTTCTGCAATCTCGCCATGGGAACACAGACTACCTTGGCTGCCAACAAATATTCCACATCCTCTATGCCTGCAGAATTCACCTCAATGTTTAGCTTGTCACCAGCTTCCTTCTTTCTATTGATCCTGGCCACCCTCTTGAGCTCCTTTACAGCCTGGTCCTGCTTCCCAACCATCACCAGCCAGCGGGCAGATTCAGCAAACCACCTGGATGATGGAAAGATGGAAGACAGAAAAGATGCAGATTCTAGGCAACCAGCTTTCATCCCAAATTACACATTACAGTTTGTAACATGATTTCCCCCCCCCCCCCCGCGTGCGCTGGGTCCTCCCCTCCCCTCATTCATTCATTCATTCATTCATTCATGTCAGTCAGCAGTTGCTGTGAACCAATTTCCCATGTGGACAGGAGCCCATTTCAGATTGAGACTGCGGGGTGGGGTGGGGGGGAGCAGCATCAGCCTTCTTCCCAAGCCATTTTCTTGACTCAGAACAGCGCTGGGGATGTGTTATTTTACCCCTGTTACAGGGGAAGCATGTGTACTGATGGGCTATACATACAGCCTCCCCCTGCACCAGTGGAGCAAACTGTGCCCTCCAGGCCATTTGGGATCAGGAAAATGGTATGAAAGGAACACTGAAGCCCTTTCTCACCCCATGCCAAGGTCCTAGGTGCTTGGGAAACAAATTCTCTGGTTCCTGACATCTAACTGTCTCAGTCAGTAAGTATCATCTTGGGAGAATCCAATATTACAAATCATAATGTGTAGTTGCCAGGTCTGACTTGGGTAATACCTGGAGATTTTGGGGGTGCAGCCTGAGGAGAGTGGGGTTTAGGGAGGGGAGGGACTTCAGTGGGGTATAATGCCATAGAGCCCACCTTCTAAAGCAGCCATTTTCTCCAGGTGAAACGATCTGTGTCACCCAGAGATCAGTTGTACTAGTGAGAGGTCTCCAGCCAGTGCCTGGAGGTTGGCAAATCTACCTAAATCAAATGTTTTCAGTCACTTGTAAAGTGGGGCTGATTCAAATGAATGTGTGGGGTTTTTTCATTTGGGTTGACTTGCATGTGCAGAAGGACCATACTGAGTCAGCCTTGAGTGAATTTTTTTATCACCCCAGGTCAGCTTAGTCAGGCAAAGCAGGTGCTAGGAAGGTGATTTGGCCCTTCTGTGTATGGTGGCATGACTCTTGCTCCAGTCTTGCACATTTCCATGGTGGGGGAGGGGGTCAATGATTTCATTTGAGAAACTAATGACTATATGATCTGTAGTCACATATGCTGAGTTCAAACGTTGAACTCCTATGTAGATGTTTGGAGGTGAGGTGGGAACATACCTTCACTTTCCATCATACACAGGGGTCTGAATTCCCTGCATATCACATTCTGCATGGGGCTGCCCTTGAAGACAGTCTGGAAAATGCTGGTGGCATAAATATAGCAGCCCATTTGTTATCCTGGGATAGCTGGTGGGACCATATCACTCATATTTTGAGGTCCCTCACATTTGCTGCTAATTAGTTTCCTTGTCCAGTTTAAGATGATGGTGCTCACCTTTAAAGCCCTTCATGACCTGGGGCCCACATACGTCAAGAACTGCCTCTGTCTGCTTGTTGCCATGTGGTAGCTCTGTTCTTCCCAGCTATGTCTATTATCAGTGCCACTGTTGCCTAAAGCACATTTTGCCATGGCCTGGGCTTGGGCTGTTTTAGTGGGCCTCCTACCCTCCTGGCTCTCTGGTGAGGCTATAAAACAGCTGTGCAAGAGAGCTTTTGAGCCAGCTTGAGCCTGGCAAAGAGGAAATACTTTGTTGGTTAGGGCATAATTTGTTTTAAGTTTTGTTGATTTAATATTTGTTTTATCAAATGGAATTATATTATTTTTCATACTGTAGTTACCTGCCTTGGGTCTTGGGATGCCCGGGGAGAAAGGTGGGCTCATAAATATTTTAAATAAATACATACTGATGATTACAGGTGAATTCCCCCAATGAGGCAAATAAGGGCTCCCTGGGACTGTTTCAAGATGGGAAAATGGTGGGGTGGGGAAGTTTAAGCCCCCTCTTCCCACATGACACAGTCCCAATCTGAATTGGCCAGTGCACACCTGAGGATTGAGTTCTCAGAAGGGAACATAAGAGAAGCCATGTTGGATCAGGCCAGTGGCCCATCCAGTGCAACACTCTGTGTCACATAGTGGCCAAAGCCCAAGTGCCACCAGGAGGTCCACCAGCGGGGCCAGAACTTCAGAAGCCCTCCCACTGTTGCTCACCAAGAAAACAGAGTATCACTGCCCCAGACTGAGAGTTCCTGTCTATACCTTGCGGCTAATAGCCACTGATGGACCTCTGCTTCATATGTTTATCTAATCCCGTCTTGAAACTGTCTATGCTTGTAACCGCCACCACTTCCTGTGGCAGTGAATTCCAGATGTTAATTACCCTTGGGTGAAGAAGTACTTCCTTTTATCTGTTCTAAACCTCCTGCTCATTAATTTCATTGAGTGCCCATGAGTTCTTGTATGGTGAGAAAGGGAGAAAAGTACTTCTTTCTCTACCTTCTCTATCCCTTGCATAATTTTGTAAACCTCTATCAGGTCACCCCTCAGTTGTCATTTCTCCAAGCTAAAGAGTCCTAACCTATTTAACCTTCCTTCAAAGGGAAGGGGTTCCATCCCCTTTTCTGCACCTTTTTTAATGCTATATCTTTTTTGAGATGCAGTGACCAGAACTTTACACAGTATTCCAAATGAGGCTGCACCATGAATTTATACAGGGGCATTATGATACTGGCTGGTTTGTTTTCAGCACCCTTCCTAATAATTCCCAGCATAGCATTTGCCTTTTTTATTGCAGTTGAGTCAACATTTTCAGTGAGTTATCTACCACAACTCCAAGATGTCTTTCCTGGTCAAAACTGCCAATTCAGACCCCATCAATGTATATTTATAGTTAGGATTTCTGGCTCCAATGTGCAGTACTTTGCACTTGCCCACATTGAACCTCATTTGCAACACTGATGCCCTTTGCCCAGCCTTGACAGATCCCTCTGGAGCACCTCTCAATTCCTCTGGTTTTCACCGCCAATTAATGAACAAGTTAAAGAGCACTGGACCTACTGAGCCCTGCGGTACCCCACTGTGTACCATCTTCTACTATGAAAACTGCCATTTTATACTCACTCTCTATTTCCTGTTAACTCACAAGGCATGTCTGATCCAAAGTCTTTGTGGCAGCAATTCCTTCACTAAACAGTGCTCACATACTTCTGAAGCCTCGTAATCATAGGGGCTAGAAACTTGTTTTTTAAACGCGGTTCTTAGGAAGCTGATTTTTTCCCAGCCAGCAAACGCCACATGCTACATCTTTTCTGTGCACCTGCAGCATATATACAGCTCTCCATTTAGCCACGTTACCATACTTGGAGGGGGGAACAGTACCTCAGGACAAAAAAAGAGCTGTACCAGGAAATGAGAGACTTTCAGAAGGGTCAGGGAGGCGACTGTCACAAGGGGAATTGTGGGGAATTAAAACAGCTACGCTTAGGCTTTACCAGGAGTAGAAAAAGAAGATGAAATAAGGCAGAGAGACAGTGAGCTGAAGCCAGCGCCAGTCCTGGATCAGGTACGCCACGCCTGCCAAGATGAACTGTCCAGTGGTGTAGGCATAGCCATACAACGTGCCCACAATTGCTCGCGTCTTTGTGGGTGTCCATTCCACAGCTGCATAAGGAAGTGGGGTTGAGAAAAATAAAATGTATTTACTTTAAATGTTTATATGCCACTTTGGTATCTCAGGGCCCAACTAAACATACTGATTTTCAAAGAGTTGGTTTTTTTAAAAGGAGAATCTGCTTTGGCTTGGAATGCTGCCACAGGTGGGAAGACGACTCCTGCCTCCTCCCCCCCTTTTCCCTGTGCTGAAATTATACAGGGAGGGGAGTTATTTCCCCATGGAGCAACAGGAGTGGGGAAATACCTCCCCCCAGCACTGTTTCTGTGCAGGAAAATGGATGGGGGGGAGGAAGTAGCCTTTTCTTTTCCTGTGGTGGCATTCCAAGCCCAAATGCACATTCTCTCTCCCTTCCTCCCCCCCCCCCTCTCTTTCCCCCACACAGCCTTGTGTTGCTGCAGGGAACCCAGACCCAACTCTTTGAGAATCAGCACATCTAGTTTGGTCCTAATACAAGATTACAAAGCAGCTCATCTCAGTTAAAATCACACTGAAAACACAACTGTAAATTTCCAACAACTAACCCAACCAATCCAAACTACAAAACCAGCCAGGAAAGAAAAGAAAAGCCTGGGTAATCAATCGACTGCTGTGAAATTCCTGTCACAGTACTTGGAATGGGTTGATTATTTTCAGCGAGTTGGAGTCAGGGGTTGCAATCCTAAGGACACTTTCCTGGGAGTAAGCCCACTGAATAACATGATGCTTAGTTCTGGGTTACTAGGTTATTTCTCTCGAAGTCTATGACAGTAGAATATCAATGTTGTGGCTTCTGGCTAACCATCCCTTTTCCACGTTGAGGGCCCAGAAGAGGCCACTGATATTTCCTTAAGTGGTGCTAATGGTTAGGAGATGCTCCCATAAGAGTCTGAAGAACATGACCCCTTCCAGTGGTATATTCTGGAATAATGCTTGTGTGTGAAGAAAACAGCATTTTCAGGGTTACCAACCTCCAGATGGTGGCTGGAGATCTCATGCTATTACATCTGATCTCCAGGCGTCAGAAATCAGTTCACTTGGAGAAAATGGCTGCTTTGCAAGGTGGACTCTGTGGCATTATACCTCACTGAAGTCCCTCCCTTCCCCAAACCCCACCTTTTTCAGGCTCCACCCCCAAAATCACCAGGTGTTTCCCAACCTGGAGCTGGCAACCCTAGTTGTTAAAGATACTTGTTGGACATGGCATGTTGTGGTGGATCTGATATGGCAAAGCAGCTTTTATGAAATGCTGAGCAGGACTCAGCTCTGTTGAAACCAGCTTTCAATGCCAGAGTCTCCAGGTTTGGGGGGGGGGCTTTCTGCTGCAGAGGACTGAAACAGTGTGGGGAAACCCACCATCTGAAAGCCCCATTGCCACTGTGCTGAACTGGTAGCCTCAACAGCAGCAGGAAAATTTCTCCTTTTCATTGCTATACAGAAGTTGATGAGAGAGTGATTGTTACTCACACAGGGAGACACCATTCATGACGATTCCTGAGAAGGCCATTCCCGTCAGAAAGCGGAAAGCACAGTAGAAGCTGAAACTGGGAGCGAAGGCTGTGGCTGAACCCATGACAGCCATCTGGAGGTAACACCAGATGATAAGTGACCGGCGCCCAAACCTGCGAGAAGACAGAGGAAGAGGGAAGAGAGATTTAAGAGATTAAATTAATTGGCTGAACGGGGAGGCAAACCACTCTCAAGCCAATTTTTCTTATTCATATTTGCTCCTGAAAATGTGCATCGTGTTGGACTAGGATCTGGGAAACCCAGGGCTGAATCTTTATTCCGGCATGGAAGCTTTCTGGGTAACCTATCCCAGTTAGATTTGCCATTTAACTCTTTCTCTTCATGTCCTTTTCCTACCCCGAAATTGCCATCGTGAGCTGTTTTTCCCCCATGCTGGGTCAATCCAATTGCCTTTCAGCTTACCTTTATACATATGCTAATGGTTCTAGCTAGAGACAATAGGAGGGTTCAGTTTCTCTCCCTTCCCCCAAGCAGGGAACAAATGCTAGAGGGACAGCAAGAAGGAGATTCTGAGAGATCACCAGTAAATGCCTCTTTGACCTGGTGTGACCTGGTCAGTGGGTGGAGTAATAGATATGATAAAACCTCCTTGCAGGAGGAAGTAGCTCTCTTTTCCTCAGGTGCTGTGTCCAGGAGTGCACACAGACCTCTCCTTTGACAAGGCCACCATTGACCATTTGGTTGGCCTGGACAGCTGAAACAAGCTTCAAGGTAATGGTGACTCTGTAGGGATTTGTAACTTCCTAAGCTTAAGGAGCCTGTCGTATTTTAGCATCTGATGGGGCATGTATAGAGAGAGGGACAGAGGATTTGCATTTTACCAATTTCTTTTGTATCCCTTGCTCAGTCTGGTGCTATGCTAAAAGTATACTTGTAAACATTTTCTTTTTAATAAATACTTTATAACTTTTGAAGCTGGCAGTGGTTCTCTGTACCATATAGACCTCCACTGTCTCAGACATACTATTTTAAAAGGAGCACCGGGGGAAGGGAGGCAGTTGGCAAATGGCTATTCCTCTAGGGGCGCGCAAGGCTGTAAACTGTCCCCGTGGTGACCAGGTGCTGAGAAGTGGGAGACACAGAGGCAAGGCCTCCAAACTGGGAAGGGAAGGTGGGAGTCCTGACCCTCCCAGTGGGCAATTCCACACAAAAGTCAGGCGGTGGCAGAAGGCTACCCTGAGAGTAGAAGTAAAGCCTTTCCAGGTGTGAAAAAAATACCTCAGAGGGCAGGGCATAATAAGACCTCTGCAGATACCTATATTTTCCCCCAGTGTGGCTTTGGGATGCAGGAACCCCCTAGAGTCGGATTCGACTGGCTTTTGAGCAAGGGAACCTTTACCTTTACCTTACATGAAGTTATAATGCACGTGCTGGAGAAGCCATTTATTGCATACTATAAAAACTAATGCCATAACGTTTAGGTGGACCCCCTTGGTTATTCTTTTGGTGGGGTCACCTTTATTCGAATAAAGTATCGCTCCGCTGCAGTAAAATAAATAGCTGATTCTACTTGGCCAATTTTGTTTGAGTTTTTACCGCTGGCAGGAGTCTAACAGGACTCTTACAACAGAGACAGTTTGCTTTTTTCCTCAGTACTGTAATATATTTATCAATTTTTGAATTTCTTCTAGGTGCAGATGAGAGCAAAATTTGTGTAAAACATGCACTTTTCAGGATTACAGTAATCCACAAGAATAGATAAAAATATCATACTTTTAAGACCCTCTGCCTTGAATGTTCGTACTAGGGTTTGTAAACTTCTATAGCAGTGGTCCCCAACATGGCACAGATGAGTGCCATGGCAGCTGGGTTTTGTAGTGTCCACATGTCTTCTCAAAGCATCAATAAGTCTGTCATGGCTTTCCTCAGCCTCCAGGAGATGCTTCAGAAAAGCTCAGGAAGCATCATCCAGGCCCGTAGTCACAGGGGGCATTTGAGAGTGATGCCCCCTGCCAAATGTACCCTGCCCTTCACTTCCCATTTCTTAAGGTCCCCCCTCTCCCTTCCCTCCCAAGCCCTCAAGAGCTGCCACATCTCTTTTTCGCAGCACAGCTGGGCTTAGCTGGCATCCATCTCTCCTAAGCATGGCACTATGGTAGCAGGGAGGGGGTGGAGGCTAGCTGCAGAGGCAGGCCATCCTCTGCTGGCTGCGCAGGCGCAGTGAGGCACTGGGGTGGGTGCCACTGCAACGTGACCACTTTGCCTCAGCTTCCTTTCCCCTGCTCAGCTCAGTTTTTATATCTCCATGGCATGGGGGGGCCAAGGCCAGGCCTGGCCACCCCTGTCCCCGGTCTCGGTGCCCAAAACTCAGCCACTGCAACCCCCGCAGCTGCCTTTCCTAGGGAGTGTCGCCGCCACAGCTCTTGCTGCCTGCTCTGAGCACCGACAGCACGTCCCATTTCCTTGTGCCTTCCTCCTCTTTTCCTTCCCCAGCCCACTAGAAGTGACACTGGCTGCTCAGCCCAGTGGTGGAGGGAGGAGGCCTTTTTCCAGCTCTTCTCATTGCCCTTTTATTTGATTTTTTTTGTGATGTCAGAAGTCACATAGGCATGTGCCCCTGGTGCCCCCCTCCCGAAACCTTTCTGGCTATGGGCCTCCTCAAGTCCCCATGGCAACCATTTTGTTGTGCCACCCACCCGCCTTTCTCAAAATTCCAAAAGCACGTACAGGCTCAACAAGACAGCCCCCCCTGCACGATAGTTTCTTTACCATCCATCAGTAAGCGTCACCCACAGTACATGGCACCCACCTCACCTGTCCGAGAGGCCTCCAAACACAATGCCTCCCAGCAGTATTCCGGCCATGTACAATGACTGAGCCATCTGCTTCAACGTTCTGGAGGCACAAACCAGGTTCCACTGGAGGAGGGAGAGAGAAAAAGAGAAACCTTTCAGTGGAACCCTTGACAGCTCGAAGTTATGCTCTATATTATGAAAACAACTCCAAGAAAATATTGTGACTGCATTTATGTTTGGGGAAGAGACATTATAGTCAGTTTTCTGAAATACAGAATCAAAGGAAGGAAAAAATAAAGCATACTACCCCAAATTATAACTCCAGAAAATACACAAATGAAATTAAGAGTGGGCGTTACATACAATGGTTGCATCTATTCTAAATTCCTTGATCCGCTCCAGTCTGGCTTTTGCCCTGGTCATAGGATGGAGATGGCGCTGATTGCCCTTACTGACGACCTCCGGAGGCATCTGGATCGAGGTGGTGTGGCGCCACTGTTGTTATTAGATCTGTCGGCTACATTTGATATGGTCGACCACCAGTTGCTGACCCACCGTCTTGCCGATGTGGGGATACAGGAGCTCGCTCTTCAATGGCTTGCCTCTTTTCTCCAAGGCCGGGGACAGAGGGTGGTGATAGGGGAAAAGCAGTCCCGGAGGCACCCACTTGAGTGTGGTGTGCCTCAAGGGGCAGTGCTTTCCCCGATGTTTAACATCTACATGCGCCCCCTCGCCCAGATTGCCAGGAGGTATGTTCTGGGTTGTCATCAATATGCAGATGACACCCAGCTGTATTTGATGTTGGGCAGCCGGTCGGGCTCTGACCCAGAAGATCTGAACCGGGCATTACAGGCCGTGGCTGGGTGGCACAGGCTGAGCCAGCTGATACTAAACCCAGCGAAGACGGAGGTCCTGTGCCTGAGTCAGAATGGTTCGGGGTTGGGGATCCCTCTCCCAACCTTCGATGGGGTGCCGTTGGTGCCAGCGTCAGAGGTTAGGAGTTTGGGAGTGCTCCTGGATCCCTCCTTAACTATGGAGGCCCAGGTGGCAGCCACTGCCAGATCTGCATTTTACCATCTTAGGCAGATTCGGCAGTTGGTTCCCTTCCTCGACCGTGATGACCTGGCCACAGTGATCCATGCGACAGTCACCTCAAGGTTAGACTACTGTAACGCTCTCTACATGGAGCTGCCTTTGTCGCAGATCCGGAAACTGCAGCTAGTGCAGAATGTGGCGGCCAGGCTGTTGATGGGTCTCCCCAAGTGGGAGCACATCCGGCCTGGGTTGAAAGCGCTGCACTGGCTGCCAATAGCATACCGAATCCGCTTCAAAGTGCTGGTACTTACCTTTAAAGCCCTACATGCCCAGGGTCCGACCTACCTGAGGGACCGCCTTTTCCCGTATATACCCCCAAGAGCACTTTGGTCGGGGACACAACACCGCCTGGTGATTCCAGGCCCCCGGGAGGCAAAGCTTGCTGTGACCAGGGCCAGATCCTTCTCAGTGGCGGCCCCTACCTGGTGGAATGAGCTCCCGGAGGAGATCAGGGCCCTGCAGGACCTTATGCAGTTCCTCGGGGCCTGTATTTATTTATTTATTTATTTATTTTCATTTATACCCCGCCCTCCCCGCATGTGGGCTCAGGGCGGCTTACATAGGCACAACTGTGCAATAAAATACAACAGGATTTAAACAATTAAGGCACAAAAGTGCAATAGAAATAGAACAAGTTAAAACAATTAGGTCAAAAACTCACATCTTACAGGATACATCCACGACTAAAATACTCACTCCCTATTGTATATCACGATGGGATCAAAGAGGGGGGATGCCATGGGCCAAGATGTTCCAGATGGCCAGTCGGCCCAACCCGGCGGAGCTGCTCTGCAGTTGCTCGGTGGTAGTGGTGGCGGCAGCTCCTACTCAAAAGCCTGGCAGAAGAGGTCCGTCTTGCAGGCCCTGCGGAACTGGCCGGTGCGTTAGGCGGACGATACACCAGCCAGATTGCCAAACTCTCCTCGGCCTCCAGCACCAGGCCAACACACTCTAAGCCCACAATCTCCACCGTAGGGAGCGCCCTGAAGGAGTAAGCCTCTCGTACAAATATCACCACTCCCCCCCGCCCCCTAGTCCGTGATTGATGTAGGACCGAAAACCCCGGTGGGGCAAGCTGGGAGAGAGCTACAGTCTCCCCTTTCCGCACCCAGGTCTCAGTCACGCAAGCCAGGTCAGCCTGTTGTTCCGTAATGAAGTCCCTAAGGACCATTGTTTTATTATTAATAGACCTGGCATTGCACAGCACCAATGTCGGAGGGGGGTTACTAATCCTAGCCCCACTGCGTTCATCCTTTGGGATGAGTCGCAGGCTGGAAGGACACCGAGCCCTTTTGTTTCTCAGCACCCTTCCCATACTCCACGGCCTGGACCCACCGCTGTACTTTCCCTTCCCAAAGAGCACCGGAATCTGTTGTATTGGCATTGCTGCCTTGGCCGGTCCACACTGCAGCTCCAGACCACCAGTAACAAGCTAATCAACCGTCCTCCAAGTACTGTTCCCACCACAACTGGTATACCATTTTACCCTCACACCCTGCTATACAAAATATTCCATACACAATAGTGTACTTCGCTGTAGTAAAAAACAAAAGAGACCTAAACACTCCTACTCCAACATTCCACACTACTTACAACCAATCTCTCTACCACTCCCATCAACATCAATAGCAGACTATTTAATCATTCTTCCATGCATCCAGACAACATCCACACATCCACACAACTCATGGCATTCACATTCAGAGTCCATCCTGATGGTTAGGACCACCGCCGTCACGGGAGGCAAAATAGAGTTGCTTTCCTTCCTGCTG